ATCCTTTGAATATTTAAAGTTGTTTGTTGTATCTATGGTTTAAAACACCCCTTAGTTCATTTATTCTGCATTTGTTCAATAAATATTTAAGTGAGTTCTTCAGTTGTTTCATCTAAGGCAGTTTGTAGCCATTTCACCATCTTGGTCTTCTGTGGGGGCATTCTAGTTCATCATTGTCTCTCAAAACACGAATTTCTTAATTAAATTGAAATGTCCTATATAGGGAACCTATATGGTAATAATTATATAATTTCATGTTTTCACTCATTTTAAGTACATTTTATTGACTGTTTCAATTTTCTTAGCATATATGGAAATACATTTTAAGTTGCGGCTTTATTTAACCCTGACAGATGAGTCTTGTTTTACAGTTAAGGAAATAGGAATTCAAGAAGTAAGAAGAGTAGTGAGACAGTGAGAATGCCAATGTTTTAACTTCCAGGTATTAAATAAAAATTGTACCATAGTTCTTGTTTTTAGTAGTAGATTAGAATCAACACAAATGTTCATTAATAGGAGGTTGTTTGAATAGACAACAGTATACAATGTAGACTTGGCAGCCACAAAGGACTGCAGATCGCTACACTAAACGGAGCTGGGACAAGGAGTTTATACCAACAGAGGATGTGACGAGTCTGTGTACGTATATGTTTGCTACATTTCAAAAGGTAACAATTGAAAGATAAGCCAAAAATGCGTAAAAATGGTTCTCTAAAGAGAAGGAAGAGGACGGTGAACTGTATCACAACAGAGAGAGAAGAGTTCACTGAAGGGACTCAGGGTATTTTGATTCTGTGTCAAGGGGGTGCACGCTGAGGACAAAAACCTTGGACTATTTAATACAGTTTTTCATGGAAAGTTTCACAGGACAGTTTTGGTATCTTTAGCATTCTTAAAATTATGTCATAGAATAAAATTAGTGATTATATTACGAGATGCCAGGAATCCTAAATTTGACTTGGAAACATCATTATGTGATTTATGTTTCTTTCTAAGCAGTATTTCCCACCTCTGTCCGTCTGAAAAGACCTAGAGTAATTAACTATAACCTAGTGATAGCAGTCACTAGTGGTCACTAGTGGTCAGATTGTGGGTTCTCAGTTTCATTTTCAACTAAAAGGAGTAAGAACGTATTTGCAAAATAGTTGATGCTAGGTCTAAGGCAGTAAATGTGCAAATTGATATTTGGTACAGGATATCCCAAATTCAAGGAAACATCAAAGACTCGGGCTTCTGTCAAAAGTTTTTAAAAGCCAATTTGAAGAAGCTCCCACAGCTATTTAAAAATGAGACAATTTGAGCCTGAAAAATGTGTGTATGTTTATATTTTTTTACTCTTAAATTATACTGAAATAACCTGTGGAGTCGTCAAGACAGCTAATAATGGAAATTCTTTATGGAACAATTACACCTAATAAAGATAAAAGTAGAAAAACAATACTTTGCAGCCTGTAATGAAATAAGGGATCCTGGAAATAAGTGGCAGTGGCAGTTGGAAACAGGGTGAAAAAATAAGACTGAGCATTAAATACCCGGCACACCACTAGCCCGTCTTTGTCCTTGGGCTGTCTCTGAGACACCAGCTGCGTAGCCTGACGACTCCCTGCTTGGGCTCCACGGAGTGCACCCACCTTTCTGCCGTGTGACCTACCCTGACACTTACACAAGGATGCCCACATAGGCCTGGGCAAGAGGGAGGCCGCCTCTGGGACAGTCCTTAAGCAGCTGGACACGTGCCATGGTGAAGAAACACTCCCTTCCTAATCTGGGGGTAGATGCTCCCAAGTGTGGTCCTAGCCTAGTTCTTGGGAAGGGACCCCAGCAAGTTTGCGCGTGGTTTCCGTGTAGCCAGCTCTACAGTGCAGTCTGGGAATGCGTTTGCCTTCTTATTTCACATTCCTCGGTTCCTGCTCTTAATTCCCTGGAATCAAGAGAAATAATTTACCTACATTTCTAATTGGAAATGGAGTGCTTTCCCAGGTTCTGCCTTGGGGGGAAGGGGTGCAAGTCACATCAAAGGGAAATTTATAATATGTCAGTCAGGCTGAAAGCACCCAAATCCACTCACTCTTAATCAGCAAGTCTGAGGCAAAGGCATAGTAGGCATATAGCATCCACCGTCAGGTTTTCTTGTCCAAAATCACGTATGTGAATATAATCCAAGCTGTAGATTTAATTGCTAGTTCACATAAACTGTGAAGATGAATGGGGCAAGTCAAACACCTGAGAAGCAATCGGCCAATTCCAGGACATGAGGCTTTTAACAGGCCAAGTTGATGAGCTTCCCTTACAGAGAAATGAAAGGGCAGAGGATAGTGGAGACATGTAAAAATTTCTGCTTCTGCATTGAAGTATGTTGAGGCAAACTCATTTGTGCTAGTACAAGAGATGGGTACATACAATAATCTATTAAAGTTAGGAGCCCCAAACACCATGAGGAATGGAGGAGCTAAGATTTGAGAGGAGGGTCCCAGGGAGGTCATCTGCAGCAACTGTTTTTTTTTAATTTTTTGGCGGGGGGGAGGGGCAAATTGCCTCATTTTTAAATGACTGTGAGAGCTTCTTCAAGTTGGCTTTTAAAAACTTTTGACGGAAACCCCAGTCTTTGAAGCTTCCTTGAATTTGGGATCTCTTGTACTACATATCAACTTAAACGATTACTGCCTTAGACCTACCATCAACTATTCTGCAAATACATTCTTACTCCTTTCAGTTGAAAATGAAACTGAGCGCCCACAA